AGAAGAAGAAGAAGAAGAAGAAGAAGAAGAAGAAGAAGAAGAAGAAGAAGAAGAAGAAGAAGAAGAAGAAGAAGAAGAAGAAGATGATGATCATCGTCTTATTCAGCATCAGTTCACTTACTTGCACATAGTGCAGGCAAAGCAGTTGGGATGATAGGTTTTTCCCAGAGCTGTTACAACTTCTCCTTCCACAAACTCTCCACAGCCATTGCATCGGGTCCCATACATCCGCTGGTAATCCACAGTGCAAAGGTAATCGCCATTCTTAATGAAAAAGCCTCCTTGAGCCAAATCACACCCGCACACTGCAAAAATATATTTTAAAAGAAACCAAGAACTTATCAGTTTGAACATAGAAAAACACAGGCATTTGTTACTGGTAATGGAAAACAGTTATCTGTGTTACTTTTTGGAAGCATATGTAGTGAGGTTGGAAGAGGAAAAGAAGAAAGTTAGAAGATGACAAAGAGGTCAGAGAAGGAATATTAATAAAAAAAAATTAAAGTAATAAACAGAGAATTTTGATATACAGAGCAGGCAGTAGGAAAGGCAACACCCCGCACACGAATTGTTCTACAAGGTTGTCGTCCAAGTCAGGGAATTCGCATTGAATCTCAGCGGTTCTCAGGGACTGGAGGAACTGACTGATGGACTTCGTCTCTTTTTGAACACATTGCCGGAAGGCATAGCGGCGAGCGATCTTAGAAGGAGTAGGCGCGTAGTGGTTCTTCAGGCCGTCCATTAGTTTGTCCCAGCCAAGCTCGTACACCAGCCTCAGAGCCGCGAAAGCCTGGGCCGTGCCGAACATTTCGGGACCGCAGGCACTGAGTAAAAAAAACTGCACTTGCACGCCTGCAAATATCCCTGCCGGTTATTAGCTATTAAAAAGCACTCGAACCGCTCCAGGAACCTTGCCCACGACTCACCGGCAGTTCCAAAAGGAGCGAACGGGGCCATCGCAGCCATGGTTCGAGCATGAAAATCTTCTCGGCAACATGAGATAAGAGAAACTAATTGTATGTTTTATGTTCTAGGGCTGTTAAGTCAGGGCCTGTGGATCCCACCTTCGTCACCAGTGAAGTGGACCAAGGAAGAACGAGGCAGGAGGCTCCTGAGGTAAAGTCAACAGCTTTTATTAGAACAGAACTGAACAGTAGAACAGGCTAGCAGTAGATCGGGACCCCGCCCTCCTTGAGAGCTATTTATACGGAGCTGTCAGGCAGGGAGGCCAATAGGCGCGCTTCTGACAGCCCACGCTCAGCCAGCCACGCCTTAGCCAATCAGGCGTGGCTTGGCTGTTGCTGGCTGTCAGTTGAGGACGACACACATGATATGACCAACTTCTAAATATTTATTTGTATGGTAACTCTTTTATACATCAGTTAAAAAAAATGAAATTAACTTGGATTTATATTTATTAGCTTTACCTACAAATAATTTATGATAAAAATAAATCAATGTAATTTCAGAATTATATTTATTACTGATGGCAGAACAAAGTCAACATAAAAAATCTAATTTCAAGCACACAAAGAAGTAGCCTTACTTGAAATAAATTCAGCTGGCTTTCAACCAATCCCTTTAGTCCGACAGTTACTTACTATTAAAATGAGACAACTTTTAGATGTTATTGTGCCTACTAAATTTAGATTGATTGGTAGCACAGCTTCATATAGCAGGTTAACACAAATTTTTTAGTAAGTTGAAATGTTGCTTATTTATATTTGGTTTAATATGCTAAGCAAATAAGACCACTAAGATTTGCTCAGCAAGTCTAGGTAGAAAAAAATCCAGGTTCAGAGATGAACCAAATTATTGCTCATAGTGGATTTCTTGCTTTTTAGCCTGATATATTTTTGCAGTGGAATGACTGATTTATATTTGACTCACTCCAGCACATGAGTCACAAATGCAGCATCTCAAGGTTAAAAGATCACACATTTTCAAGTTTAAAAAAATAAATAAAACCTTATACTTGATATAATCCTTAATTTAGATGTTTCTGGAAATGTTGCATG